GTTGAATTGTAATTTACATGCGGGGCTGTCAACTTGTCGAAAGCCACAAAAGTGCTGGTAGTGGACCAGTACGCAGTCCAGAAGCTGTCCCAGCAAGAAAACAGACAAGAAAGCAAACCAAAAGCAACAAAGCAAAAACAGGCAAAAAACACACAACCACAACAAAACCAAAACAAAAACGACACAGAGAAGTGGGATCGCCACCAGCAATGGGAATTACATGCATAATGACATCTTATGTGTCATTTTGAGAATGGCCCAAAACAAGAAGCAAAACAGGAAAACCACAAGACACACCAATGGGCCATGTTGGTGGGTGAGAGAAGCACCAAAGCTCCATGCGGAAACCAGGGATCCCCCCAGCCAGGATCCCCGAGATCACAAAGAGCAGCCGTACAGGCATGACATTACACCCTGGCACTTCGAAGCAAACACCGACAACGCCGGGTCGCAACGAGAGTGGTGAGAAACGAAACAACGGTGAAACAGGAAGGTGAGACAAGATCTAAGGTGAAAATAACAGCAATAGGTACGGCACTCAGGGCACACTCAGAGTCCGCTCAGTTGTTCTTTTCCAAGCATCATCATCATCATTGGGAGCTGTAGTGCACTTTTGCGGTGCATACCGCTTTCAAAACTGAATGCTTCCTCTTTGATGACAAGCTTAAGGCCGTGCATCGGTTCAGGCTGTTCCTGCCCGGCATGATATGCAGATTCCCTGGAGGTTAAACCAAGCCGCCAAGACCCACACGCAACGCAGCAAGGGCAGCGCAACAACAGCTATGCAATATCGCCCGAAGGAAGGGGAGCTCCCAGCAAAAGCACCAGAGCTGACATCTGAGTTACTGCATTGCCTATCCACGTTGGCCTGATCCATGGCCCCTGGCCAAAATCACTATCGACATGGAAAAGCCAGCCAGTGGTCCAAAATGTGCCGGCTTTTTTGCAGATGAACACGCCAGACGCACGGTAGGAGTGCCCACAACAGCACAGGTACCAGACTTGGAGCCAGCATTCAAGGCTACCCAGAACATTCTCCCCAGCTGGAGGCAAGAATTATTGAATTCCTCTCCGAGTGGCTAGTGACCTTTCTAATGCCAGCGAAACATGTGTTGGACACCAGAGCACCCCACCTCTATTTCATGTTCTTTGAAGAATACTGGTTTAAAGAGTTATATCTGGGTCTTACGGCATCGTTTGACCGATCCGAGTCATACACACGAATTATAGATGGACAGGCCAGATGCATTGCACCTCGTAAAACTTTGACACACAAAGTTAGATCGCGAAAACCGCTTTCAAACCTCTCGTGCTCAAAGTAAACCCAAACCAAAACACAAACAAACGGCGATCGTTTCGCGTTTCTGCAGTATCGACTCTCCCAGGCCGCCTCACGGCGACACACTCACACACTTTTCGCTCTCGCAGGCTTGAGCCAACGTTCACGTTGGTAAACACAGTTCAGAACACAGAAACTAAGTGAGTTTCTGTGGGTAAAGCAAACTTGGATGACCGCGTATACTTATAATTAGTTATCCCACTTACTACATGTTTAGCCCACATATAACCATGGTTATAACCATGGTTATCCCACTTATGTAACCATGGTTATAACTAGGTTATCCCACTTACGCAATCATGATTAGCCCACTTATAACCTAGTTACATAACTTGGATAACTATGATTAACTAGAATTTGGAGGCATAGGAAAACAATTTCAAGCCATAAAAATTTTGCGGGCACATTGCATTTTGAAAGAAAAAATGCGAGCCAGAGAGGCCCTGCAAGCAAAGTGCGAGCTTTGGAAATAAAGCCCTGCGTGGATGCCTGGGATCGATCGATCCAAACACGCACGCATAGATACGCTGCCATTGCATGCTTCAAATTTGATAGGCATCCTAAAAAATATTGGCAGGGCCTACATACATCTGGCTCGCATTGAGGGCAACTGCAGGGCCATCTGCGGCTCGCTGAGCCATTGCCCAAAGTCGGAACCTTCCATCAACTCGATTCCGAACCTCTTCTTGGCGCATCCGCCTGGCAAAATGACTTGGCTGCATGTTATGCATGATGCAATGTATGGATGTTCGCGAAGTCATAACTTTCATGGCCATGCAATCATGTGAAGTTTATGCAGGGGACTGCGAGCCAACTTTTTCAGGGGATCACGGTTGCCACACCTGAACTCACGCAAAAAGGAAGCGCTCTTTGCAGGCTTCCAGTAGGAACTAGTTCTGGCACATCAGTCATTTGGAAAAGATTGTGACCTTGCAGAGGCGTCCACTTAGAAACGATTGAGTGATACGAAGTGTCATGAATGTCTGACACAACTTGCGCGTGAAACCAAATCTCAACGATATGTGTGGATGTGCAAACTGCATCTCCACGGCTCATGCTTTCATAGTTGCATTGAGCTTCTGAAGCTACAAAGACTCTTACGGATGGGTCCGCAGTCAGCCCGAGGGTTTGTTTCAACCCATTGGTCATGTCAACCGAAGCCTCCTTTGCATCAATGAGTTCAATCCCGCCTCTGCAGTCCCATTCCTGCAGCTCCAAGTATTGGGACAACACGACCTCTTGGATGACGCCATGTTCCCATGACATTTTTTTGTTTGCATTTGTACTGTTGTTGCCGTGTCGCTTGAGGGCACGGTGCTTCCTTTCGTGCGCCCAGCACGATGCCAGCGTGCCATCTCTGGCCAAAATCTTGGGTAAGTGCAAACTATAATGTGCTTTCGGCTGCATGTTCTTGGCCTTATAGGCATCCAAACGGGCAGTCATGTGAGCTTGGATAGACTGCTGGAGTTCCTGGGAAAGCAGCTGGAATGTTAGGGTGAGATGACAATCTTGGGAAACATGAAAACAGTGGGTTCAAACATATAAAATACAATCCCGGGAAACATGAAAACAATGGGCCCAAACATATAGAATTTTAGTTTGTCAATGAAAGCTGTCAAGGTTCATCAGGTAACACTGCCCCTTTCCGGGTCTTCACCAGAAGGTCCAAAACTGCAGCTAAACAATAGTAGCTCCTGACCGCCTTAAATGCTGCTGACCCTGCTGTAGACTGCGGCACTTTGGTCTGCAAGAAACATCGCACTGAAGGATACAGAGACAACCCTTCAGAAGCTGAGCAGGAAAAGTGTCCCTCCTTGTGTTTATCGACTGCTTTGATACCAGTGGTGCCTTTGGAGGAAACTTTCTTGGGCCACGTGACAGTTTTCAGGAAATCGGCTAAGGCTTGAGCTCCCATCCGATGCTCTTTGTTGATCACATCAAGCAACAAGGAAACTTCGGAGTTCCACAATCCTGAAACCAAATAGATGTGCATCCAATCGTAGGATGTCATGGAGACAGCGCCGGGAATGGAATTCATAAAGTTCTCATCATAAAGCGCCCCTTCAGCCGAGAACGTCAATCCCAGTGCCTTCTCTAAATCTTCAAAAGCTCCCTTGCCGAGCCTGCCTTTCTCCAAAACCAATTTCTTTGCAGCTTGGTTTATAGATTGGTCCGTGTGCTGGGCACATTTGTTCAGAGAACAAACATACGATGGCACAAGCCTGCCGGTCCTGTCATGGGCTGCCAAATCCAACAAGTGGTTTGTGACGTTTCGGCAAAATATGCAAATGAAGAGCCCAGAGGATCCTTTGTTGCTCCAACACTGTTTCAATGCCGCTTCGTCGCCCAAAAGGACCTGGACCTTGAAGAACACATGAGAGCAAGATCCACCCAATGGCAAATTGATGCCAAGTCTTCCGTCCAAAGGTTGGGTTTGAAAGAGTTGGCATATTTTCTTGCAGATTTGTGAATATTGGCCCAGCACCTTCTTCACATGGACGGTTCTGCAACATGTCAATTGGAACCACAATTCCTCTCGCCCCAATTGCCCTTTGAAATCTAATATACTCCAGTGCCAAGCCACCATCTTCCTCATGTTTGTAGCCTCTAATTGGTCGCCTGGTAGGACTTCGTCGCAGTAGCAAATAATTTTGAGCGGAGCTGCTGCGCTATTGCCCACAGACTCTAGCACAGTTTCAAAATATTCTCGGAATGGCCTGCAATTTGCCAAAGTGACATAGAGCAAGGCATAGGGATTGCAAACAGGAAGCTCCAGCATGCGGTTGTCTTCACAGAGCAGTTGAATCCTGCCCCATAACGGGCCCATGGGCGTCTCCTGCGGGATCGCCTCTGCCCGTCTCCTCTTGAGGGTCGGGCGGCTTATGGCATCTGGCAGGCCATGCTTGCGGACGGCCTTGAGGACCGCCACCAAGCCGCTCTTTGACACAAAGGAGTGGCCAGCAGCAGCCACATAGACATTCATGCTGGAACTTGTTGAAGTCATGGCGCGAGTCAACTGATGACCCTGCAAGTTCTGGTGAGGCACGAGCCTAGATTTGGCCCTGTGTTCTGTCTTACTCGGCTGTGTGCAATATGATATTTATGGTATGGCCACACAATAAAGAATATAGCAGCCGCGTATATACTGTTGAGCCACTGCAGTCGCAAAAGCAAGAAACAAAAACTATTTGCACTGTCAGAGCATCGAATGGCGTTTGCCTCCAGAACGTGCTCGCGTGTATCTTGAATGCAGGATACTTTTGATCATCAAAGAAATGAAGTGGTGTGATCACACCAGGAATTTGCCAAACATCCTCCAGGCCTGGCAGGGCAAACGCCTCGATCACCTGAGGCCAAAACCTTGGTGGTTGCAGGGCCAGACACGAAAATTGACATGCTTGCCAAAATGCTCTGGTTGATCACAATTGTTGATCTGGAATCTGGACCTGGTGCTGAAAAACCCTTTTGTTTCAGCGATGCATTGCACAAATTGCCATGGCCGAGTTCACTGAGCATTAAAATTGGAGAATCTTCTGCGAGGAAGGCATGTGGCGCAGGATGCCACTGCTCACACTTTGACTGCGACGAAAGAAACCACACAAAGAATTAAAACAGTTTAAAACAACACAAATTATACTTACACATACATTGGGGCTATGAACTAATCAGCATCGGGAATGTCATCATATGAGTCATCGATCATTTTGATGGCTTTTTGCCACTCAGCCTCGCAATTGTCTTCATCTTTGATTTTCACTTTTTTGTCACACCTATCACCAGCGCTCAAAAAAACTCGAAAAGCTCCTGAGTTGCGGTGAATCTTGCCCTTTCTGTACCAAGTCGTGCCTGACTTGGGCGCTGGGACTGGCGGTCGGTTTGCCTCTGTGAAAACAATTCTCTCAGCAGCGGCTTTGGCCTTTGCGCTGGGTTTGGCTTTCGCCGTGGGGGATGGGGCCACAGCATCATCGCCATCAGTTGCCTTTCTCTTGGACGAAGCTGCAGCTCCCTGTGCCATACTCTTGGCAGACCCTTTTGCCGGACTCTTGGCTGCTCCTTTTGCCTTACTCTTGGCTTTTGCCTTGCCTTTGCATTTTGCTTTTGCCTTTGCAGAAGGTGTCTCTTTCTGTGGCTCTGTTTCCTTGGCTTCTGCTCTTTTCACCTGTCTTTCCTGCGTGGCTGCTTGGACAGCGGCAAGCTGCTCTTCTGCTGGCACCAGTTTCACAACATCTGGCAAGGCAAGCTGCAGCTCTTGACCTTGTGAATCTTCTTGTGACTCAACTTGTGGTGTCACAGCTGCAGCAGGCGGTGAAGCTGCACTTGACGGAGCACTGGGTGAACGGCTTGGAGTTACCTGATTCAACTCAGCCTTGTTGCCAGCAAAGATCTTCAAGCCTGCAGGAGCGGTATCCTGCTGCTGGCTCTGACCAAGAAAGCGCATTGCCATCACTTGCATCATGTTCATGGCAGCCATCGGATCCATGCCCATAAAAGCCATAGCTTGTTGAGCCATAGCCTGTTGCATGGCATGAGGCGCAAGGCCTGGCATAGTAGGTGACTGCATCTCATGCGCAGGCTTTGGAACCAAAGCTGTTTCAGGCTTGCTCTTGTTTGAGCTTTTTCTCAAACACTCCAAAGTACCAGCACTACTGCAGGCGCTTGTCAAGGGAGGATCGTCAGCATCGTAGCAGTCTCGAATCATGATCTCTGAAGGCACCTCTGGGTAGATAATGATGTGAGCTTGTTTGCTGACATCCACCTTGGCTCTCTTTGCTTTTGACTTGTAGAGATACTTCAACTGGTTGAGCAAGTCCAAGCTCTGTTTGGCCGTGCACAACTCCAATCCCATCTCGCCACACACCCTCGGGCGTTACTAAATTGACATGGACATGCAGGGCAAAAAAACAAATGCTCGCAGTTTCAATCAAAAGAGCAGGGTCACCATGTGGCTCGCTCTATGTCCAGCTAGTTAACTAGCACTATTGACATGATGCGTTAATGTGGCTTTGCTGCCAAGCAACTTGAGAACGTGTCCCGCTGTGACTTCATTCGGGATGTCGAGGCCTATTCTGACCATTCTCACCGCGATGTGGTCAAGTTTGGTGTAGTTGCTGGCTTGAGGGTTGCCAAGCATCACGACGTCCCGCTGAGTCAAGTATGCACCAAAATTGGACAAGGCTTGCTTCGGCCTTGTCTGGCCTTTCTTGTTGTCTAAGGGTGCCGTGACCTTGCCACTGATGGCAAGTACTATCGGGGAGATGTTGATGGCCAGCTGGCCTAGTTTGTCCTTCACTTTCTCGATCAGCGCTGCCGCTTGATCTCCTGTCAGCTTCGGAAGCATCTGACACTGTCTGAGCACGGCAGCACATTGCTGCTCCAAGACCTGCGGGAAGCAGTCAAGGCCTTTCTGCGCTTGCAGGAAGCGCTCTGTATCATCGAGTGCATCGCTCAGCACCTCAACAGCAGTCATGCTCAAAGCACGACCGTTGGCACTTGAGCCTGATCTGAGAACATGCACTTGCAAGTCTTGCAGAATGTTTTGTGCGAGTTATTCGGTGAGGAACAACCCTGCCCTTTAAACTGGTGTAGTTCTCCGAGCTACCAGTACTGATCAAGCTACATATGTAAAGTAGCCCTGATTCTGAAAAGTCTTGAAATGCACAGCTAAATGCATGCGCACCGGTATCATGACAAGAGAATCACAGCAATGTGCCCATGTGCAGTCAAAATCTGACTCACTCACTGTCGGTACATTCATTGCTCAAGTGCAAGTGGAGGAGTTTCATGTCTGCTAATGCAGAATTGGCTTCCACAGAAAGCAAAGAAAAACACACATAAATGTCATGAATGCACACTCCAAAATTGAACTTCTGAAACAAAGTTGATGCCACCAATGGCATGCCACTTTCACAAAGATACTGGAGACGCATGACAGCCTCAAAAGAATTTTGTTTTTTTACCACAGGCGCATTTCGGGTCTTGAGCTACATGTCTGTCATTCAAATTTCGACATTGCGTCGGCATTGCTTCTATTCACATAGACATATCAGACCGAAGACAATGCCAACAATCAAAAACCGTTTTCAGCAGTGACAGGTGTCTCTGCACTGGTTCACTTTTTAGTGTGAGCCTTCTTCACTGCCTTGCCAGCGGGCTTCTTCAATGCATTGCTCTTGGCAGCTGGCTTTGGCGCAGGTTCCGGCTCAGGTTCGTGCATGGACTTGGCAATCATCGTGGTGGTCTTCATGTTGCTGCTCTTGACTTGCTTCTCCATGTACGAGAGATAGGTTGCCGAGATGTCAAGCTCTGTGTGCAGCTTCATGTTCATCAAATGAAATCGCATCTTGCCCCACAATGCTGCCATGGTCTGGTCCTCCCTGATCTGCCCCATGCCAGCCCTCAGTCAAACAAGTGGGGCAATGAGATGAAGCAAACACCAGAGGAAAAGAAAGAAACATTACAGCATGAGCTGCAGCATGTGTTCAACCGTCATACATAAGCCCTATATACCCCCATGATTACACATTGCCAGGTCTTCCTATTGATAATGAAAACCCTAGATGACAAAACAGTAAATCAATTGCGGCTGGAAAACAAACTGTTCGAGAACGTGTACGTGAAAATGTACTGCAAATATCCCTCCACATCCACTGACGGAGTGATGTCCACAGTGATCAATGGACCTCTCACAGGCTTGGCCAGCAGCACCTCCTGGTTCTTCTCCCTGATGGCTATGATACCTTCAGGAGTCCACTCTTCAAATCTGAATTTGAACGCAGTCATTGGGCCCAACGTCACGAAGAACCTGTGCCCCTGTTCATGTTTTTGTTGGAAGCAAGAAAGAACGCGTTCATTGGCCTCAGCGCCAAGCTTGGACCAGCCGCTAGGAACCGAGAAAGCCTTCAACAGGTCAGCAGGGCGCTTGGCCACCATCTTGTACTGCATCTTGGAGTCAGCCATGTCAGCGACTGAAACTTGAGTTGCCGGGGAAGCACAAAGAATCTTTGAGTTCAAATCGGATGCTACAGAAAGCGAGCCAACTCATGTGATGGCCCTGCATGCAAACTCATGCGAGTCTAAGTGACCCTGCTCTACCGGTTTGATTAATCACTATGCATCTGATTCACATAGTTTCTATAATCTTCATCAACTTGGACGGAAGATACAAGTAGCTGTGCAACGTCAAATACATTCCAAAGCCCTGGAATGGCACATTCCGCAAACACCAGGGTCTGCACGGCATTCAGTCGGCCAATCTATCTCAGGGCTAAACCCAGCTCGAGAACAGTGCAGGGTCATGCTGATGCTCGCACCTGTTGGCCTTAGAATGATTGCCAACGTTTGCAGCCAACGTTCATTCATAGTCTACTGTGTTTGCAAAGAACATGACATTTGTGTATTCTTTGTCGAAGAATCAATTCTAGAAGACATAGCCTTTGAAAGACTTGGGATGCAGGAGTGCACAGTTGGAAACATGTTCGTAAAGGCTTCGCCAAGTTGTCCAACCAGTCTGTCAAGTCTGTTTTTCCTTGCAACATGGTGAGTTAGTTGATGTGCACCTGTGTGAACGTACAACTTGGCATGTTTGAGATGTTTCTTTCAAACTGCTGCAGCATGGTTCCATGCAAGTATCAAATCATTCACTCATTGATTCTTCTTTTGTTTCAGATTCCCATGCATGATCACAATTTGTAGGTGTGTCCATCGCGTGGTCCGTTCCTGGGATCCCACCGCGTTGAGACGTGCATCGAAACCTCAACAGCCGGCAGCAGCACGTGTGCGGGTGGGGTTGTGCGGACACAGCTGGGCCACTCAGGATTGACATATAAAACAGGCAGTAATAGGTTTGTCAAGGGGCCATACCATTCAACACCTAATTCCAATGGAATTCCAACTGCTGACCAAACTATATTTATGAAATGGTGGTCACAGACCCTCTGCAGCAGCCACATGAACTGCAGATCGAACCTTTTTTTCCACTCCGGTACAGGCTCTTCGGAGAACTGTGCAAGTGCATGCAGCACACGTGAATCAGTTAGGTCGGCCATGATTTATGATTCTTTTTTTGGGAGAAAAATGAAATTTGGTGGTCTTCAAGGGTCAATTTCATGCTTCCTGAGAACAAACTGTCCAAATTGACCAAATCACCAAAAATCGAATTTTTATCGTGGCGATAAAAACGGTGTTTGCCAGATTTCAGATTTTTATCGCCACGATAAAAATTGGACCAAAATTAATAGATTTTTATCGTGGCGATAAAAATTTGATTTCCCAAATGTCCAATTTTTATCGTGGCGATAAAAATTTGATTTCCCAAATGTCCAATTTTTATCGTGGCGATAAAAACTTGATTTCCCAAATGTCCAATTTTTATCGTGGCGATAAAAATTTGATTTCCCAAATGTCCAATTTTTATCGTGGCGATAAAAATTTGATGTCCCAAATGTCCAATTTTTATCGTGGCGATAAAAATTTGATTTCCCAAATGTTCATTTTTTATCGTGACGATAAAAATTTGATTTCCCAAATGTAAGATTTTTTATCGTATTGGTACAAAATAAAATCCAATGTAGTTTGATTGATTGGCGATTTGATCAATTGTTGCTTACAGGAACTACAACCATTTTTTTATCACGGCCTACCATTTTGATTTGCATGTCTATTGAATTGCGGCTTGGGTCATCCAGTCACCACCATGTATTGCCTGCAAGGGAAGTGACCGAGGTTGTGAACCATTTTTAAGGAGTCAGCTATCAAAAAAAAATTAAGTCATCAAAAAGAAATTTAATTTCCCATCAAAAAAATTAAACTCATCAAAAAAAATTATTCCCTCATATCCTGGCCTGCGCAAGCCAAACGCAAAATACAAGCATCATGAAATCTGCGCATTGCATCATCAAAAAAAATATGTTTAAATTATTTTTTGATGATTTAAATTTTTTGGGGGGGGTCATTGGTAAAACAATTATTACTAGCAGGAAAAAGTATTTTAAAAAAGGAATATACTTGGGAGGGACGGTTGGGTGGGCTTGGTCGACGCCGACATGTACGAGTCATCGCACAAGGAACACGTATTGGTTCGCAAGCTGTTCAATAACGAGGCACTGGGCCAAACAACATTGAATCCAATGGGCTACAAAAACTATTCTTTCCATCATGTTTTCCAGGCACGGGTGGGTGGGCCTGCTGTATACGGAAGCTTGCACAACAACGCACGGCTACGCGATGAAGTATGCTTGAAAAAGGCCAAAGAGCCAAAAGCCAAATGGCCAGAGGCCAATAGGTCAAGCCTGGCGCTAAAACCCAGAGGAAGTAGCAGGAGGACAGTAGACGAAGCTGAGCAGGTTGGCTGCGACAGGTTTGGTAATGCCAAGAAAGATGAGAACGTGCGGGAATCGAACTTCCATGCGTGTAAGTTACCTGGCCCAGCGACCAAGCGTACCCAATTCCCAGGACCTAGCGTTCGAGCCACACAGCCCTACTTGCAAGGCAGCTGAGTCGTTGGGCCACCGGGCCACCAGTTCCAGGCCCCCACACAGCAATGGTCAGCTGCCATCCCCATTTTGACTTGCAAAGGTGTATGTCTACTATGCTGGAATGGACGCAATGTAGGTGGGCCTTATCATGACACATTCATTCGCAATGTGGGTGGGCCTTATCATCCACCTTTCTGGCGTTGTCACAAGCCGCGGCCAAGGCTTTAAAATAAAAAGGCGGGGGGAGGGCGCAGCGCCTCCCCCCGCAAAGCGTCACATGAGTGGTGTCTACAGGATTACTCTATACCTCCCTTGAGCCTTGACAGCGTATATAAATATGCTCAATACTCATGCAGTACCCACGTAGGATTCAAGTTAAAACAAAAACCCGGGTGCAGCGCCTCCCCCCAACAGAACAGTATAGGTGGGCCGTATCATCCACCTTTGTGGCGTTGTCACAGCACAGAAACAAACCAAGCATGTTAGCTGGTTGCCTGGTTGGTTGGTTGTTTGGTTGCTTGGCTGGTTCGCTTCTTCGCTGTCTTGGTTGTAGTCGTTTGGTGTGTGTGTGTGCGTTCAACCGAACCAAACTAACAAAAGGTTGACAAAACAAGAGCCATACAGGCCTCCCTCCTGGACATGCATCGGGCACCAGTGTCATGTTCCCGAAAAAGACACCAATGCGCCTCCCCCCGCAAAGCGTCACATGAGTGGTGTCTACAGGATTACTCTATACCTCTCTTGAGCCTTGACAGCGTATATAAATATGCTCAATACTCATGCAGTACCCACGTAGGATTCAAGTTAAAACAAAAACAAGGGCGCAGCGCCTCCCCCCAACAGAACAGTATAGGTGGGCCGTATCATCCACCTTTGTGGCGTTGTCACAGCACAGAAACAAACCAAGCATGTTAGCTGGTTGCCTGGTTGGTTGGTTGTTTGGTTGCTTGGCTGGTTCGCTTCTTCGCTGTCTTGGTTGTAGTCGTTTGGTGTG